TATATATGCCCACTTGTCTTTCGTTTTTTCTTGGCGTGGACACCAATTGTTTTTGTTTAGTACATTTATGTGACAAGGACCAGTAGCCTTGCTATATCACGAAATAAATGTGTTCAGTACAAAATCATCATCACAAATGTATTGCTTTTAATTCAACCTAATCTATAGACGAAATGCAATATCATTTTAAAAGCTTTCTCTTTCAAGCATAAAGTTTTATTTGTATTATTTGTATTTGTCTTACTTTTTATATTGTAAATATGCAAAATGGGATAAACTTTGAAACCCTGAATAGACCTATTTGTTCATAACAGACTGACTGACTGACGTCAGGCAAGTTCAGTTTATTTATACTCGGCGCCGGAATAACCATATGTCCGAGACTTTAGCATCCTTGCCGGTCCACTAAGGTAGTCTCATCGGGGACGTCTTTGTCAAGCTGAATCTTCCTGAAGCCCATTCTTCGTTCGTTGGTGGTAGAGGAGACGACAATACTGCCAAGGCATCATGTTCCTTACTGACGACAACAAAAACGGCTCTCATTAGCGCCAACCCTCCAGAGTTAGTCACTACAGGTCAACCAATCACCTCTGGTACTTAAGATGACTTGACCTTGACCTGCCGTGTGCCTTCTCCGCGACGTGCACGCCTCTGGGGGGATTTAGAGAAGACTGGCTTATTTGACGGTGTTAATGGTATTTATATTGAACATTTTACGTCATCAAAATCCTTAAAGAGCATGTAAATATTTAAAAAATAGCATTGAATTCAATAATTATTCTAGCAGTGTTATCAACAAATATCATATGTCTAATGATGTCTCAACACCCTGATGTTTAACACGATCGTGGGATCAAGTTGTTTGTCATGTTGATTAGAAAATATAATTAAAGTGAGAAAAAAAGTTAACAGCTTACATCAAATGCATGATAACCTAGGATTGCGTTTATTTTCATGTTAGGACTACGGTGTTATTACTTTTAATTCCATGTCTCATTTTGTCAGAAAATGAATGGTCAAAGAATCAGCTGCCATTGGCGATAGTGTTGATTCAACACTCCGTTATAGATCAGATCGTGGAACATTGCACACAATTGTAGTAAAATCATAGTGTTCTATTAACACAGCCGGTTTGCTTTGAGGCGACTTTGGCAGCATTTCTGCATTAGCCCAAGGTTGTGCTTTTAACATACATCTTTACTACACATGTGTTAATGCATTCTCAATATAGATTATTTTGAAAGAATATAAACAGTAATATTTTGTATATCTTATCATCTTTTTAAACTCCGTGAAAGTCACAACTAACATATCATCTTAAAAACCGTTTTACTTAATTCTGAAACCAAGTGGTTGCATATAAAGATTCTTATATGAATGTCTTTTCATTTTGAATTTGTAAAACAAGTTGAATTTGAGTGATACTGTGAAGCCAGTACTGTCACCGATGGTTAGACATATATTTTTGCATGTATTTTGATGGCATTGTTTATGAATGCGTCGATAAATTACTTTGCAAAATATACTCAGTTTTACACTGTTTCCCTTATGAAAACTACATAAAATTAGACACGTTGTTCTTATTAACTGATGTTTTGAAATATATTTTGCATGTCTACTATTAAACAAATTGTTTAATACACCCACATATGTTTTAAAAATGATATTTTTTGTAAATTGTCAGTTGTAACATTATATGTCACGGAATATTGTATTGTAATAAAGATCGCTAAATATCATTTACAAGAGAAATTATTGAAGAGAAATAAATAATATATTAGAAATATACACGAATATGATATTCTTTTTATCACATATTAAAAATATGAACGATTTACAGTTTAATAAAAATATTTTTCAAAAATGCTAACAGTAACGATACTCTTCTGAAGGTGGATATGCCGCCTGATGATTTTGGTCTGCACTGGTCAAATGGATAGATTCAGTCGCTGCCAACAAGCTGGGGGTTAAAAAAGACTAGGTGCCTTATAATGGTACATACTGTGAACACAATCAACAAGAGATTATATCTCTTTTACAAATGTTCATTGATTTTAAATTATGTGTTAATCAACAAAACATGCACTTAAAATATCTTCCACAAATGATCGTTTAACGTATTGAATACTTAAAAGTCTTCGACATTATCGTCTTATGATGTATAAAATCCAATAGGTTAGATATAAGTAACACGCATTACCTTTCACAGCTCAGAGAAACAATATATTATTTAACAAAAATAAAGCAATGGGAAAAATGGATGTTATTTTGTTGTTAAAGAATTTAAATGAAGTATTGATTTGACAAAGGAAGGCGAAAAAGGGAATAAATATAAGTATCAAGTATAATAAAGCTATGTCTGGATTTAAAAGCGCTCCACAAGAACTTTTGAAAAGGCAAGTTACTAATGTTTAAACTGAAAATTTGAATGATGATCATGTTATATGTATTTTAAATTTCATTAACTGAAACAGATATAATGTAATTGGATTGTTTAAATCAAAGAACTAATTTACGTATTAAAGGTAACTAATAAAATACTTATTTGACTATAACTATATCATTAAAAGAAACAATTGTGTTTCGAATCTTTGATATACACCGTTTTTCAAAACATTCTTTTTTCTGTAAAGCATAGTTTCAATACATCAATACTCGTTCTAATTACGCAGTAGACATGCGCTTGCTTTCATGGGGAATCCATATAACACATGTGATGTTTATTTCACTTTTTTATTGAATTTAAAATATTTTTAAATGTAGTTGCAGTACAATTTGTTTCAATAATATTTCAAAGAAAACTTCTTTTTGATCTAATCTGCGGTTTAAAATTCATTGTATTAGCAAATGTGATATTTCAATATTAAACGATATATTTATGTTGTTAAATTTCTACTTTGGTCTATGGTAGGATTTTTTTTCTTTTCTTTTTTTTATGTTGATTTTGTTTGTTTATTTTTCAAGCAATAATTGACACTAAAGAGTTACTAAATTTTCACATTTTTTCTACTAATTGTTAAAGTATTCTACAATATCTTTTATGGCAGCATTGGGTCATTGGGTTTGGTCAGCATAAATCGCGTAAATGATTTGAAATACCTTGTTTAATCATTGTGTGTTTTAAACATGAATTAAACAAAACATCAAATTAAATATAAACATTCATTTGTGAAGATGTTGTATTTGAAATAGCAATATATTTATTAAGGTACCCGGTTGAGGATGAAATCATATGTGAAATAGATAAATATAGAATCCCTAAAGAAAGCCCAACACGGCAAAATTGAAAATGTTGCAGGCTCGGTTTGATTGAGCCTGTTCATGGACGGTACTGTAAAGTGCAAACTACCGTCCACGCCCCCTAGCACCGGCTTAAGCAGAATTCAACATTTAGACGTGAAATAGTAAAATTTTGAATTTAGAAACATCCGCAGATGTATTCATACGGCGGTTATCATGGAACCTTCAATGTGACACTTTAGTGCCATTCCATGAAAAGCGGCGTATGGTCCCCAAGTAATAAAAAGCGTGTGCCCTAAACGAGAAAACAATGGGCGGAACTAAATAAAATGGAATTTGGAAAGGGGATCAGAGGTTATGAAGCCTGCGTATCACAGATAAGACGTCAAAAGACAAATTTAAAAAGCAGGCAACATATCCTAAGGGTGATTCAACATTATTCAAGAAGGAATATTGGAACCACCCAACTAGAAAATGCCCAAAAGTTGAAACTAAAAATACCACAAGCACAACAATAATGTCGTGCTGAACGATCTTCAAGGATCGAAAATATAACATCATTGATTAAATGTACGGGGAGACTTTTTACAGCCGCCACACGGCACAAATAACACGGATGTGATCATAAAATAGATAAATATAGAATCCCTAAAGAAAGCCCAACACGGCAAAATTGAAAATGTTGCAGGCTCGGTTTGATTGAGCCTGTTCATGGACGGTACTGTAAAGTGCAAACTACCGTCCACGCCCCCTAGCACCGGCTTAAGCAGAATTCAACATTTAGACGTGAAATAGTAAAATTTTGAATTTAGAAACATCCGCAGATGTATTCATACGGCGGTTATCATGGAACCTTCAAACCTTCAAAAACCTATATTCTATTTAGATGAAAATTTTAATTTCAAAATAATTATAAGGTTGGATGCCTGTAATTTGTCAACTTGGAAAATATTATGTTTAAAAAGAAAATGTATCTAAGGTTTCTAATAGTATTTGTTTATGCATAAAATGTCAGTCTGACATAATAGAGGATGGTCTATGACTTGATTTATACGATTTATACAATAACAAAAGAAGACAGCAATATCATTATAAATGTTAAGGACTTTGAGTTAACCAAAACAAGTGTTGCAATAATGTGTAATGACCATACGCATTTCGAAAAAATAAAAAGATATTTTCCGAACGATTACATCATTTATTTCGAATGTATTTTCAAAATCTGTATACTTATTCATTGGAGTAAAAACAACTTATTCTTATTTCTAATAAATAACACATGACATGTGTAGTTTTGGGAATGCGTTCATTGAGCGCCGCCTTTCCTTGACGATCTTGTTTATCATATTTTGTGTTTGAAACATAATTTTAGTTATTAGTTATGACAAAAAAAAATGCCTTTCGGACGCACATTCTTAATCGGGCCAAGTCAAATATAACAAATTTTGTGTGTTTATTATTCTTTTATACAATGAAATTCAAAAAAATCATTATAAAATATAAATTAAAAACAGAGATTATACGTCCAGACAGGGAATATTTATTTATTTACACATTAATCTCAATAAAAAAAGCAACACATGGCGCAAGATGTCCAATTTCTCTCACAGTAACTGTTCTCTATTTTCAGTATGACGATGTGAAAAGACAGTGATTAAGAGCTGATCCATGTTATTAACAGGTGATCCACAGAAGGTGTTGTCAAAACTCTGCTTGAATTATCTTTATATAGTAAGGAAACATTAGAAGATGTCACGATGACGTCTTGTTTACATTTCATTGTTTTCTTAATCAGCGATGGTAGATTCCCAGGATTGCTGTCTCTTTGATTTCTTTCAGAGTTTCATTGAATCACTACCACTATAGAATTGATAATGAAACTTCTATGATGTAAAATTAAAATCAATACTTGAATGAATATATCTAACAGACTTCGTTTTACAAGTGAAATGATGATCTTATATAGTTATAGCAAATATCGCATATATTCTTTTCACTTCGATATGAGACATATATTTATGATAAACAAATTTTCTTTTTAATTTTATGTCTTAGAAGAATAATAAAAACAATTTGACGTCTGCGTTACATTCAATTGTAAACTTTTTACAGTCAAATAAGATATTGATAACAGCACTTGAAAAAAACAAGACTCATGCTATATTATAGAATACTTCCGCAAAGTTTCAAGTAAATTGCGGTTTACATTTTCATGAACCAGTTGGTTAAAATAACACATATTTTTTTGCATTGCAGTGTAAAGTCCATACATACATTTTTCTACGAGGATGAACAATGTCAGTGCAGACGGAAGTGTTTTAAATACGACATTAGAGAATTTCAGTCCATTCGTCTACGCTATAAATTATATTGCCTTATTTGTGAGCTTGGTTATCATAATATTAGAACTCGTTGCAGTATTTGTTCTTCTAAGATGTAGAAGAATACCATTATGCAGCCGCATTTTATCTACAAGTTTTATTCTCAGCGATGCAGCAGGAGCTTGCATATTTGCTGTTCATCAGATTACGATATTTATTGTTGGGATTAAGAATGACGTCATATTTAACTCTAGAATTCTGACCGTGGGAGCCATGTTAACAGTCTCGTGGGCGTCTGTGGCAACTATGTCCCTAGAGAGGGTCATTGCTTTAAAGATGAATATAAAATATAACTTGAACTCTTCAAAACTGAGAATTTATCTTATAGTAAGTCTCATATGGATTGTCAACATTGTTGTTGTTGTAGCTGCTATCGTTATGGGTTTTTACTTCCATTGCGTTTCGGAAAATGCCACTTGTGATTTGTGGGAGGCAACTAAGGCCGGTCGGTTTGTTATGATGAGTCTTTTGATTTTCTATGAAATTATTCTTGTCGTTTCTTACGTCATTATACACGGTATAGCATCTAAACATGCGAAAAATATCATTGCACCACAAACGACGTCATTTGAACAAGCACATAACAACCCTGAATCTTTGACAAGGCGTCAGTATACAGCTACAATAGCTATAATCAAGATAGTGTTTGCTTTTATGTTCTTGCATGCACCAATAGTCATACATCTTATCGTTTTTGAGACCCAACCCTATTTACATAACGACAGCATTAGGCGCTTATTCCATGCTCTAAGCTATTTCTGTATTCAAATAAACTCATTTGTAAGTGTGCGTTTATACGTCGCGAAAATTGATGAATGTAAGTTAACATTTTACCTGATGTTATCACGCATTATGAAGAAATATGAAAATGAGGCAGAGTCATTGAGGGTAAAAGTATATGATATTGTTGTATCTACAAAGTCTGAATTTGTTGGAAGACAGCTAAAATTAACTGAAATACCCACGTCAGTTACTGATGTTCCTGAAACTGACACGTGTTAATTCAAAAGACAGAGAAACTGACACGCGTTAACTCATCAGATAGAGAAAATGACATGTGTAAACTCATCAGACAGAGAAACTGACACGTGTTAATTAATTACAAAGAGAAACTGACACGTGTTAACTTATCAGATAGAGAAACTGACACGTGTTAATTAATTACACAGAGAAACTGACACGTGTTAACTCATCAGATAGAGAAACTGACACGTGTTAATTAATTACACAGAGAAACTGACACGTGTTAACTCATCAGACAGATAAACTGACACGTGTTAACTTATCAGACTGAGAAACGGACACGTGTTAACTCATCAGATAGAGAAACTGACACGTGTTAATTAATTACACAGAGAAACTGACACGTATTAACTCATCAAATAGAGAAACTGACACGTGTTAACTCATCAGAATGGGAAACTGACACGTGTTAACTCATCAGAAAGAGAAACTGACACGTGTTAACTCATCAGACTGAGAAATTGACACGTGTTAACTCAGGATGAGTCATTTTCAATGACACTTTTATATGTTTTACAAAAAAGAAAGAAGCATATTTGAAACTTTTCAAAAAGTTAACTCTGTATCATAGAAAAACCTGATGCTATGTGTGTGTGTTTTGGTGGAATTTGTTATTTCTTGAAAGGAATAGATTGTGAAACAGTGTCCAACACTGTTTACTTGATATAATAAGAATCAAATAATGAATGAATACTGAGATTTAGGACAAGGGGGGTAATCTCTATATTGTTTGTATTGGAGATTGAATATTTTTAGGTCGGTGCTGGGAGGGGGGTGTAGGGGCGTGAGAAACGTTGAACCTTTCATTATCCCTTGCGAATAGACAATCAAATATAGTCTGCAATTTGTATCTTTTAATAGTTTATTTGATCTTGAGGGGACTTACTTTCCAGAATCTAGATATGTATAAAAGTACTTTTAATATTAATATTTATTGTATACGTGTTTGTAATATAATCATGTTTAATGTGATAAGGTGCTCTCATTTATCTTCAAATTTCATTAAAGTGCTCGTATATCTATTCCGAATTTAAACAATATAACATGTGACAGAAATACATGTTCATGTATATACCAGTTTCAGTTTCAGGTTTTTTTTGCATACAAAATACCTTTGACCATTTACAAATATAAATATATACCTTTCACAAACCAGATGTAAATATGATATACATGTATTTGAATCATGACATAAGTTGTACGATTTCTACATTATGTATAATAAATAAATATATTTTACAGCAGATGTTATTTATAAATTTGTCAATGACCTTCTTTGCCTGATTTTTTATTTGTTTGGGTCGTCAGACCAAACAAATAATGGTAGCGAAATATCAGAGCCTAATGCTGTTAATTGCAAATGCCTAAAGTAGTCCACTTTTTTGAAGCGGTTACTTCCCTTTATATGTACACTAACGCCGAAAAATTCAGGGGAGATCAGTGCGTAAAGATTGTCAAATGACAGGCGCATTAATTTTCAAGCAAAGTAGTTCCCGAATGGTCGAAGATTTCTAATATTGTTTCATTCTTTATAGATATACATGCTTACAGTAAGCTCCATGATTATTTACATCTGTGTTAAACAACAGGTTTAGCGACGAAATAATAATAGTTACAAACCCTAATTTACAATACTATTGTTTTCTTCAGGCCGTTTACATATAACTTCACCGTGGCCGAGGGGTTTGCACGCTCGCTTATGAATCGAGAGGTCTGAAGTTCAAATCCCAGATGAGGCCACCCTTTTTTTTTAATTGTTTAAGTCAAATAAACATTGAATTGACTATCAGTGTTGCAATTAGTCTTATAGCCAATATTTACTACAGTAAAAACACTGGAAAGCATTGGTGGCACTATACAAAAACAAATTGGTTTATAATCTCACAACCTTCACCTTTCTGACATTCTGAGACCCAAACAAATTCAGCGCCTTCTGTGCTTTGATTTAAGAATATGGCTCTCCGCATACAAACAAACTTCGGAAGCTCTAAAATTATGTTTTAATATATTTGTTTGTTTTTTTATGTTGTTGTTATTGTTGTTGTTGTTTAATTTCAATGCGGCACTTGTTCATTTTTTGAATAAGTTTGATTTATCTAGAGCATTAGGTTCTTTAGCTTTTCTAAACGTTAAATATGTTATTTTTAGATAAATCGTTTCATATAAATGTCAAATCAAAAGAAAATGAAATTTACCGACGAAACAATGCATAAACAATAAGGAAACCCCTCAATACTTCCGCTGACAATTCGTTTCCCGATCTTCTATGTTTAGAAACGAATGTCACTGAAGTGTTATAAATAGCTCTCGGGACACTGTTTTGAAGAAGGATTAACAGTGATATGATGCACTTTTTAAAAGATAAAATTACTGATATACATTATTTGACACAGCACAGAATTGTTTATCCAACAGAAAATCAAAACTGAATGCTGCTTTAAGCTCACGAGGATACCATGTATAATCATGAAATAAATGAAACTGAATATAACTTAATAGTATAAATTCATAAAGGAACTGGAGATGGTTGAACACATCAAAAGAAAAAAAAAGAATAAACGTTTCCTCAATTAAAATGAATGCAATTCCAATTGGAATAGAGCTTTTATTTACAGGAAAAAGAAAGATAAACATAATAATGGAAAGTTCTGATAAATCTTTCCCTTGACATTAATAGCGTCATGGTCGTTGTTCTTTTATTCATCCAGGTAAATATTTCAATGTGAATTTTGCACATATTGTGTTAAAAAAGAAAAAAACGTAAATTTATTACTTTGTCATTTTATATATGTACAGTTTATACATAAAATTAATTGATTATTTCTTTTATGTAACAGATGTACGATATATAAAATGTAGAAAATATAGATGTGTCATCATGACAAACATTGGTGTTGTTGTTGTTGTCGTCGTCGTTGCTGCTGCTGTGATTGTTGTTGTTGATAATGATGTCGTTGCTGTTATAGTTGCTGCTGTTGTTGTTGTTGTTGTTGTTGTTGATGATGATGATGATGGTGATGAGGATGATGATGTTGTTGCTGCTGCTGTTGTTGTTGTTTTTGTTGCTGTGGTCGTTGTTGTTGTTGCTGCTGCTGTTCTTGTTGTTGCTGCTGCTTCTGTAGTCGTTGTTGTTGTTGCTACTGCTGCTGCTGTTGTTGTTGTTGTTTTAATACATTAGGGCGTAAATCTTAAAATCTGGTTAATTCTCTTCTTTATTACTTATGTACAAAAGTTAACAAGGTGTACACATGATTTCACCAAAAAAATCTTAATTTTACACACAAATATTTTTTCTGAGCAAAGTTATGAAGATTTTAATACGTAACATGAACCAATAATTATTGATATCCAACTCCGCTTATGCGATATCAATATATGAGGAACAGCTACCAGTAGAAGTAAGCAGGTACCAAGACAGATAATTCGATTTAGCCGATATATTGAGACAAGCGATATCGATAGATACAAGTAAAGTGTGTTGTATAAGACATCCAAATGTATCGGAAACTATAGTTCTGTTGTTGTTTTTTAATTTGTAAAATAGGCTGTTTTTAATGCTGATACCTTACAGTATACGTTGCGGAACTTAAGAAATACTTATGTGCTATGCAAATATCAATCGCACGTAAGCGGAACAATAGATTACTCATATATATGCATAAATATAAATTTAGGATTTTTTGTTCTATTTATACTGCAATTTCTTTTTTTTATATGAAAGTGTGTGTGTGTCAATAGCATGCTTTTCAATGCAACCAAAGTATTAACAACCTTTGAATCTTGAGAAAGTAACATTCCGTCCTTTTATTAAGACACTAACGTAGCGAGTTTTAACTTTTATCTTTATCAATTTCAATTAATATAAAATATATTAAATTAATCTTACACCAAGGGGCTTAAATTTTATTGTCGAGTCGTTTTGTATATTATATATAAAAGACCCATGCTATAATTTTTAATATCAAGTAATTGATTGAGACTTAATATGAGATGTACAAATATTCCGGAAATAGCATGATAAGTCTTTAATGACATATCTAATGGATTGAAGAGCTGTTTTATATTTAGTTCAGACGATCATTTAATTATTACTAAGCATTGGCAGGGTGATATTGTCTGGTATTGTATGCTATTGTTCAGAGTCCATTAGTGACTGACCTTTCAGTAAGTGTCTATATACTTTTATTTCAGACAAATATAGGTAATGTTAAAATACCGTTTTTATATAAATACCCTTGTCATTTGCTAATTACTAGTAACTTGCAAATTTACACCACAATATCAGATATTTAAATGACAAAATTAAATGTAAGGTGGAAATAAGTATATATATGATTAATATGATTAAGTTGTTTTGTTTTGTTATAAATGTTTTGTCTTGTTATAAATGCTTCCCGTATAAATTTGCAGAATTGATTACTACAGAATAGTTTACAGAATGCTTAAGTTCTATAAATTTATCAATACTTTGTCTCTGTAGAAATATTATTCGTTAAAATACAAAGTTTTCGGGTTTTTGATTATATGCTGAATAGATACAAATGAAATGATATTCATCTTCACCGCTGTTACAAAACATATGTCTTTGGTTTCGTTCAATTCTGCTATTACCATAACGATCTGGTTCAATTCGAAATTGATGAGGAGATTTTCTTATCTTAGTCAATGGAATACGTAGTTAAGGTTGAATGTTATCTAAATAAAATTCAAATTTCAAACAACTTTTAAACAATTTATAAGCAGATAAACTTGGACTTGCATACAATGTTGTAGTCCAGAACTGTTAGTTTTTGAATATAAAAGGATTTTAGTTTAGCATTAATGATGATCAGGATTGTTCAGTATATATAAAACTCAATTCAGATAATATTTTCACAAGTTACAATTTTCAGCCAGTATTTTACAATCCTTACATATTTGTTAATGAACGACGGGTATCTGCTTAACTCACCGTAAATAGCCATATTGCTAGTACTTTGTTTAATATAGGGTATTGACTTTCAGAATTTAAAATTCTTTACTTTTACTTAAACCTCATATCTCGCTAGCATAATTTAACATGGGACAAACAAATACAAAGATATCAAGTAATTAACAAAGGGTGCTTGCTAAGTTTTGATGACATGTTTATGGAATCGAATAGGCAAGCAGCATATCTAATGCCTGTCTACCAGATATGCTTTTATTTTTATTTTTCAAAAGCTTTTTATCTTTTTTTGCCTCACTACAAAAATTTCTGACCTATATTTTGCTTCTGTTGCTATTTGGCGCAAAATACAGTTATAGTGGTTTAGTATTTTGTATGAGAGTCAAAATACTACTTTGTTTACATTTTGCTACTTTTATTAAAATAAATTTCGGATTCAGTTCTTCTTTTTTCTGGTAATAAGTATCTAACATGTCTACAGTAAAACAGTTATTTGAATGTTATAAAATTCACGTTTGCCTATTAAATAGAAGCTGAAAAAAATAATCGTTTATAAGGCATAATGTGCCTTTAAAAATAACATGTACTGTTTAGAAAATGCATCAATGTATGAATTATATTGACAAGCGGTTCTACCATTTTCTGTATATTTGAAAAATATAAGCTTACTTTTATTTGTATTTTACTTGCCTTGCTGTTGACATTTTCGACAATGTTTAAGTTGAATTGCAATCCGTCTGACTGTTCTTTTCAACAATTATTTTAAAAATTAATAATTAAAATTGACCACTATAAACGCCTGCCACATTAAATTATATCATTCTCGTAAAATATTCTTATCAAATAATAATCAAGTATACAGTATTTGATTGTGCATTTTTAAATGATATTCAAGCAATGTACTTGTCAGGGACGTGTGTCATGACATGCAGGGCTTAAAATCAAAATATATTATTAGTTATAAAGATCGTTGACAGGTTATATGGCCCAATATAAACGGTTATATTGCAAACAGCCGTTTATATACTGTCATATAACCTGTCAACAATCTTTATAACGAATTTATAATACAGCAAGCATCAGTTTTGGAGAAAAAAGTAAGATTTCTTCATGAATCGCCAGCAGCCGTGTATATAAAACTATAAAAAACGTCACGTCCTAGCGGCTCGGGTTATATTTACAAACAACGGTTTATATAGGGCCATATAACCTGTCAACAATCTTTATAACTAATAATATAAACGTCACGATTATCAAATGAAAAGCGACGTTACAAACGTGCAGTATTATAAAAAGACATATAATTATACGTCGCCAACTTAACAGAAATTTGTTAATCTCATATGTTCAAAATCAATAATTAATAATTTAGCGAAATACATATAATACTATGCAAACTTGCGAAATAACTAATCATAGTTACAGTAATGCAATAAGAACAGATTTATATTACATACATATAGTGTGCTCTTCTGTTAACTGATTGTGCATGTCTTGAGTGAAATAAACATATTGTATTGTAAGCCATATGTCTTTGTATTGAAAATTGTTATGAAAAATGTTATTTTAATGCAATAAGATATTTGTTATTGTGGTTGAAAACATTGGTTTGGTACTTATTTGTAACACTAATTTGGAAACAAAGACCCAGTTGTCACTTACATGTTTGAAACATGTTCTGGCTATTGAAGCACCGACAAACAATAAGCTAACTTTAGAAAGTGTGAAAAATATGACCGCTTGACTTCATAGGTCAGTGAATTGGTGGAAAGACACGTACGAAATGACAAAGGAAATTACACATGCATTTCGGGTGTAAAGGATTCTAAACAAAGATATAGTTTTGTCGGAAGTTGAATTGACAAATGCTCTAACATTCCTGGTTCCAAACTCAACTGTATGTACTTTTTTATTTGTATTCCTTAATTTTATTTTAATTATATTTTCAAATGTTACAAGTTGGAATAAAGTGGATTTATAAGTTAGTTGGAATAAAGTGGATTTATAAGTTAAA